CACCCCATAGTTGCTCCGCTCCTGTGCCAACGAAAAACACACAGAATGTTTCGAATTTATATATACGACTAACTGATTTTTTTTTTTTTACCCCATTAAGACATCACACTGAGCGATTAAACACAAGGTGACACAAATTGCTACCATTCGGATGAGGATCACACGGGGACAGGTCTCAGAAACCCCGTTCAACCCGTAGGGTTATAATTAGGGCTAAAACATAATGAACAATTGCGACCCACTTTAGGGCGGTAAAATAAATTCGTCAGTCAGCGAAATGTTTAATACACTGTCTGGTCTGCAGACGCTTTTGAAACCTTACATTCCCTAGTGGTGTCATCCAAACGTCGCAATTCAAACAAAGAAGATCTCCCGGCGTCGTGGCATCTATTCTGTTAGTTGCCAGACAAATAATGATAGCATCACTAATTGTCCGTTCAACAATAAAAACGCTCACCTGGTAACAGCAACGATTAAAGCAGTGCATTAGGCAACAAATACCATTGCAAGAAAAAATTGCTTGAATAATGCTCTGCATATTTGAACTAACCCAGTTTAAACACCACGTCGATTTACTTCCCTTGTTTCTAGAAAAGCCTGCTATCTGATACTGGTGTTTGTTTTTGTTCGTTCCGTGAACAACATCACATAGGTAACAAAAAACAGCATTCAATCACTGGAAGAGATGCGATACTGTGAGATAAAACACGGACAAAAATACCCGACATTGCTCGAATAAAACTTCCGCTACAAACACAAATAAAAATGTAATATTGGAGACATGCATGTAACCAGAAACAGTGATCCAAACAGAGAAATGGATACACGTTTGAACGTGCGAAAGTACATTTCATATTGTACATTGTCATCCCTTCGTGGAATGCAATTTTACGTTATTTTGAAGCCCCACCCTGGCTCTTGCCAGGGGCCGCAATATAGCCCGGCCATAAATATGGCCTAATGGCTGAATGTGGTTTGCGGGACCTCTCCACGGATGATCCTAATCCGCATGGTGGCACTGTGTGTCATCATCATCATAGACCATCTCTGCCGTTGAGCAACGTGGGGGGGGGGGGGGGGGGGGGGGGGGGGGGGGGGGTGAGGAAACGTTGGCTGACACTGGCTATTGTCAAGCCGTGAAGGCGTAGAGTGTCTTTAATGTTGTCAATCCATTTTCCCGCGGCCGTCCTCTTGCTTTTGTAGCTGATCTTCTGAGGTGTAGTGCTTGTGCTGGTATTTGATCTTGCTGCATTCTAACGAGATGTGGTTTCTCGATGAATTTAGTACCATGTGTCGTTCCCACAGTTTGCCTGACAGTTTCATTATTAACGCGATCTCGGATGGTTAGGTTGGCTGCTTTTCTCAGGCACCACATCTCGCAGGTGGTGATTTTGCGTATGTAGGCTTTAGATGTTTGGCATTGGTAACTTAATGTTGGAATGAATGTGCTGTGATTATTATGTGCTCTTTGTGTCATCCGGTGTTTATTGCTTGTGTGATGCCCTGGTGGGGTAAAATGTACTGTTACTAGTAATTACGCGAAGAACACTTCTCGTGCAAATGGCGCATCAGGCAAGTCCTCTTCTTTTTTCTTTGTTTCTTTCTTTGTTTCTTTCTTTGTTTCTTTCTTTCTTTCTTTCTTTCTTTCTTTCTTTCTTTCTTTCTTTCTTTCTTTCTTTCTTTCTTTCTTTCTTTCTTTTCTTTTCTTTCTTTCTTTTTTCTTTCTTTCTTTCTTTCTTTCTTTCTTTCTTTCTTTCTTTCTTTCTTTCTTTCTTTCTTTCTTTCTTTCTTTCTTTCTTTCTTTCTTTCTTTCTTTCTTTCTTTCTTTCTTTCTTTCTTTCTTTCTTTCTTTCTTCTTCTCCGTTCTTCTTCTTCTTTATTTCTTCTTTATTTCTTTTTCTTTCTTCTTCCTCCTCCTCCTCCTCTTCTTCTTCTTCTTCTTCTTTTTTTTTCTTTTTCTTCTTTTCTTCTTCTTCTTCTTCTTCTTCTTCTTCTTCTTCTTCTTCTTCTTCTTCTTCTTCTTCTTCTTCTTCTTCTTCTTCTTCTTCTTCTTCTTCTTCTTCTTCTTCTTCTTCTTCTTCTTCTTCTTCTTCTTCATCATCATCATCTTCTTCTTCTTCTTCTTCTTCTTCTTCTTCTTCTTCTTCTTCTTCTTCTTCTTCTTCTTCTTCTTCTTCTTCTTCTTCTTCTTCTTCTTCTTCTTCTTCTTCTTCTTCTTCTTCTTCTTCTTCTTCTTCTTCTTCTTCTTCTTCTTCTTCTTCTTCTTCTTCTTCTTCTTCTTCTTCTTCTTCTTCTTCTTCTTCTTCTTTTCTTCTTCTTCTTCTTCTTCTTCTTCTTCTTCTTCTTCTTCTTCTTCTTCTTCTTCTTCTTCTTCTTCTTCTTCTTCTTCTTCTTCTTCGTCGTCGTCGTTGTCGTCATCATCATAATCGTCATGTACAGTACAAAGTCTTTTGCATAACTGCGTTCTCATTATCGCAGGCAAAAAACCTTTGGCCACTTGCCAGCTGTCCCGTCTAGGGAAAATCTCACCCTCAAGATGTCTTTGATATGCTCGGTCTCTTGCCAAATGTCTTGTCGACTGAACATTTCACACTCATGGTGTCTTTGATATTCTCGTTCCCTTACTGACTGTCCCGTCTTGTAGACATTTCACTCTCAAATTGTCTTTTATATCATGGGCCCTTTGCCAACTGTCCCGTATAGTGACAATTTCACTCTCAAGATGTCTTTGATATCCTGGGTCACTTGTCAACTATCCCGTCTAGTGGACATTTAATAACACTTAGGCTGTTTTCGACATCCCTAGTCTTTGCTAACTATCCCGTCTAGTGAACATTTAATAACACTTAGGCTGTTTTCGACATCCCCAGTCTTTGCTAACTATCTCGTCTAGTGGACATTTAATAACACTTAGGCTGTTTTCGACATCCCCAGTCTTTGCTAACTAACCCGTCTAGTGAACATTTTTTTTTTCACACTCATGGTGTCTTTGATAATCTCGTTCCCTCACCGACTGTCCCGTCTTGTAGATATTTCTTTTCTTCTCTTGCCAACTATCCCGTCTAGTGAAAATTTAACCTTTAGTGTGTCTTCGATATCCTTGATTCCTGGCGATATGTTCTTTTTAGTGAAAACTTCACGCCCGGGGCATCTGTGACATCCCCGGTACCTTACCAGTTGCTCTGTTTGGTAAATATTTCACGCTAACGGTGTCTTTGATATCCTCGGCCCACCTTTGTCCTGGTGGATGTCAAAGCCTTTTCTCCCGAAAGCCATTAAACCCAAAAGACATTCTCTTGTATGTCCCTCTGTGATGGCGTTTAACTGTGGCCAATTTATAACCTGTTTAATCACCGTTGAACACTGGCATCATAAGGGCAAATAGACTGAAATGGCTGAATGCATCAGTCGTCCCCATGTGAGATGCAATTTTTCGTTTTTGAAGCCCCACCCTGGCCTTTGCCGCGGGCCCTGAATATAGCTGGACCATAAATATGGCCTAACGGCTGAAAGGGGTTCAGGGACATCTCCACTGGTGATCCTGATCCGCGTGGTGGCACTGGGTGTTTATCACTTGTGTGATGTCCTGGTGGGGTACAAGAGAGAGAGAGAGAAAGAGAGAAAGAGAGAGGGAGAGAGAGAGAAAGTGATAGAACGAGAGAAAAAGAGGTAGAGAGAGAGAGAAAATGATAGAACAAGAGAGAGAGAGAGAGAGAGAGAGAGAGAGAGAGAGAGAGAGAGAGAGAGAGAGAGAGAGAGAGAGAGAGAGGGGGGGGGGAGAGAGAGATAGAGATTGCTGAGATATACTGAGACAATGTCAGATGACAGAAAGGCAAAAACTGTATACACAAGAGAGCTGAATGATCGTAGACCAGTGGCAGTCCAAGAAGACAATATAGATATAATATCCAGACAGACTTACAAACACATAGTGTAACTAACTGGAAAAAGAAGACAAAAAAGAGCGTTGAATGCAGGTGTGTGATATTGTGCTGCCTTTAAAAGACATGCCAGAATGCTTTTATATTGCTCGTGCTGTTGTGTTTATTTTTTTTTTTTTAAACAGTTTTTCCCACCTTATCAGGATCAGACTGATACAAATCCCAGAAACCCACTTCAAAAGTGTAGCTGTGTAGCAAGGTTATACTCGGCCAGCACAAACAATTCACTAAGTAACATCGGTCTAATGTGGTTGGGTGGGTTTTAATGTCTAAACTATTCGGCTCGTTGGGAATTGTTTTTCGATATTGTTGCTTTTGACGTTTGTATGTGTGGTTGTGTGTTTAAAAAAAATAATTCACTTGTTTACGTTTGATGCCAAATACAGTTTTAACAAAAATACAGTAAAATGCCTTAAAACTGGGGACATTTAATTTATAGGTAAATAAAGTGAAAAACGAAGTCAAATAAAGTCATATAAAGATAAGTACACCAAACGAACAGTTTCACAACAGTTGGACAGCTGACATACGGTGCTAGACATGTTTTTATAGACCAGTTGGTGCTCGGTGGGTGATGTGATCAAAACTTGGCCGGCAGTTTCAACTTTCCAGGACAAACCCACTTCAGCTAGGGTTGACCGCGGATCCTAGAAACATTTTCTCGTACCCACTTTAGATAGACCTGACTGCAGATCCCAGTTAAATTATAAAAATCCACCTCAATGTGAAGCCTAAAATATTCGTTTCAGCATGCAAGTACCTAGACGCTGCGCCACCATGGTTTCCGACTGTACTAATAACAGACTATTATCTGGTCACTGACAACCGTCCCAACCGCCACAGTCGTCACAACCGTCACAACCGCAACAACCGTCACAACCACCACAGCCGTCACAACCGCCACAGCTGTCACAACTGCCACAACCGTCACAACCGCCACAGCCGTCCCAACCGCCACAGCCGTCCCAACCGCCACAGCTGTCACAACTGCCACAACCGTCACAACCGCCACAGCCGTCCCAACCGCCACAGCTGTCACAGCCGTCACAACCACCACAGCTCTCACAACCGCCACAGCCGTCACAACTGCCACAGCTGTCACAACCGTCACAACTGCCACAACCGTCACAACCGCCACAGACGGTACAACCGCCACAGCTGTCACAACCGCCACAGCCGTCACAACCGCCACAACCGCCACAGCTGTCACAACCGTCACAACTGCCACAACCGCCACAAACGCCACAGCTATCACAACCGCCACAGCTGTCACAGGTGCAAAAACGGTCACAGCTGCCGGTTACGGCCTGTGTTAACCACTTTTTTGGTGTGGGCGGAGGGGCTCTTTGTGCCTGATGTTTTAGGGCCACGTGGCTAGTTCTGTCGCCACGGACTGTGCAAGTTAGAAGTTGTTCTTTTTTGTCTGTTATTGTTGCCCCTAATAGAAAAACACCATAACCTTACAGAGGAATCAAACCCTGATCTCATGCGTGAGCGCTCTGTATTATTAACAATTCGACCAGCCTCTCCTATTCTGATCACTGATCCGCAAAAAGTTACAGTCGAGAGGACGGACCACATTCAATGCATGGGCATTAATCCATATGAATTGACTTCTCTCCGCTAACGACAAACAGCATGTCAAGAGAGTCTCACCAAGTACGAACTTCGTACCTTCGGCAATGATGCCCAGGAATCTATATAAAAATTCCACTTTTGAACCGAACGAGGGAGCTGCAAAACGAACCCACGACCTTTCAAGTACGAGGCAAAAGGATTAATCACCTAACAATCTAGTCGTCCACAAACGTGTCCACTTATCAAATACAGATGCATCAGTCCAACCTCACAATATTTATGTTTTTGAATATCGTGTTTACAACGCTGTTTTATGTTAATTTTGATAGTTAATTTACGTGACCTGAGCCATTATAGAAGCAGAAGAGACTGTCGCACCAGCGAAGAACTAAGAACAAGGATTGGCGCAGAAGCGGTAAAGATTTCATAGAATATCAAAGAATCTAACAAAGAGGCATCAGCTAGTGGTTACTAGATGAGAACAGCAGTGTCAGAGGCCAGTTCGGCTACGGGATGAACGGAGTTAACGACAGTGAATCATCACGCATGAACGAACTGACCCTCAGTAAACCTCAGTGTGAGACCGGGCAGCTTGACCACGGAATAAACTGGGTCGAGTTAACTGGCTAAGCCATGTCCCACGGTTAACACGTATTACCGCGTGTCGAGAGATGAACGCGGGAGGGGAACAAAAAGCTTGGACAGAGGTCGCTGGGGGAGAGTTGTACGGTAGACATTGGACTGGACCAGACGTAGTTTTTATAAGGAGTAGAAAATTATAGGGAAGAGAAAAAGTTGGTAAGAAACAACAATTAGTTTGTGTTAGCTTTACAAAATCGATCACAATAAACAAACAAAGGACGTTGCGGCGATTAGCCTTCATCAGCACATAAAGGACAACACAGTACACATACACAAAAAGGCTCTAACTATGAAGTGACTACGTAGGACTCTAATCTATTAAATTAACGATACTCATCTAGTGTCCCTGGCGAAAAAACTTCGTTCAAATGAAACGACCTTCAGCCTATATACCTCCAACGCGCAGGTAGGGGCAAAAAAAAAAAAAAAAAGGGACGGGCTGGACGCCAACAGCGTACACTAAGTGTCTAAGGAGGGAGGGAGGGGTTGGCCTATAGGGCGTAACCGGGGTTGGGTTGTGGGGATGACCTTAGTCCATCCGCGTGGAATAAAAGTGGTGCCTGTGCTTGCAAACAAATATCAACAGACAGACAGCTAGATAGCTAGATAGCTAGATAGCTAGATAGATAGATAGATAGATAGATAGATAGATAGATAGATAGATAGATAGATAGATAGATAGATAGATAGATAGATAGATAGATAGATAGATAGATAGATAGATAGATAGATAGATAGATAGATAGATAGATAGATAGATAGATAGATAGATAGATAGATAGATAGATAGATAGATAGATAGATAGATAGATAGATAGATAGATAGATAGATAGATAGATAGATAGATAGATAGATAGATAGATAGATAGATAGATAGATAGATAGATAGATAGATAGATAGATAGATAGATAGATAGATAGATAGATAGATAGATAGATAGATAGATAGATAGATAGATAGATAGATAGATAGATAGATAGATAGATAGATAGATAGATAGATAGATAGATAGATAGATAGATAGATAGATAGATAGATAGATAGATAGATAGATGCTTCTCTCTTACTGTCAGCTATCAGATAGAGACAGTAAGGATGTTTGTTATACAAAAGTAATCAGTCGAGCCCGAGAGTAAGACTGGTAACAACCAGAGTGTAAGGGAGCGATGAAGGGATAGATGGGAAAACAGCATGTGTGGATGGTGGTGTGGATAGGCGAGTGTGTCCTGGATAGATGGGTGGGTAGATGAATGGATGGAATGGTGGATGACTGTATTAGTGGATGAATGGAATGGTAGATGGATGGATGGGTGGGTAGATGAATGGATGGAATGATGGATGACTGTATTAGTGGATGAATGGTATCGTAGATGGATGGATTGATTGATCAAATATGAGATGAGGTAAAAACATGAGTCTAGTAACACAGTGCTTCTCTCTTACTGTCCGCTATCAAATAGAGACAGTAAGGGTGATTTTTATACAAAGTATCGGTAGAGCCCAAGTGTAAGGCTGGTAACAGCCAGAATGGAAGGAAGCGGTGAAAAATAGCATTGAGTGGATGGTGAGATAAATGGTGTGGGTAGATGAATGGGCGGGACGATGGTTACGTTCGTAGATAGATGCAATGGTAGATGGATGGATGGATCTGCCTATATGTGTGCTGATATATTAAAATAGGTTTGTTGCCAGACGTAGCGCTTTGACTAGGAAAACTTAGTTTTAGTGACGGTTAGATTGAATAGTGTTGGTATTTTTGAGATAGGCTGTGTTTCCATTTAATGTTTCGACGAGATAGCGTAAAGTTAATGTTCCTTGTATAGTGGACGTTCCACGCAGTATTTGTTAAGCAGCTAGTGAATGTGTGACACGCATTGTTAATGGCGGTAACACTGCCCAGTCACACTTAGCTAGACACCTTACGTGTGTCACTGTTACGCGTGGCAATAGACGGCGGCTTAGTCAGCACTGATAAACTGTTAGTTTAGAATCGTTTCCTTGGGGATCCATGGGAATGGCTCGGGTTGACCAGTGAATGTAAAAGCTACTCAACGCCGGCGTTCAGGATAAGGACTGCCAACTAGGTTGAGGTGTTACTAGTTGTATTGTTCGTTGTACATTAAAGATTATGTTTGTACTTAGCAGGTGCGTGTCTTAAGTATGTCGTAGGGTAGTGAAGTCTGTTAGCTAGCCTACCTAGCGAGCCATAGAAAATGAATATAGTAAATTAGGTCACTGACAAGCAGCTAAAAGGCAAGGGGCAGACCAAGAAAAATATGGGTTGCGGAAGTAAAGGAGACACTGTAGAAACTTATATGACTTTAACATAAGCTACACGATTAGCAAAATACAAGAAACTACATTTAACCCATCAGAACAAGCCGAAAGACAAAAGAGTAATGATGATGATAAAAAGAAAAAGAAGAAGAGCAATAACAAACGAATGTACAGACTTACCTTTCTTGGTGATCCGTACAGACTCCTCCATGGGATCATCATTGTCATCGTCTGAATATGGCGATAAAGAATGCAGAATCTCGTAGACATATCTGTTACCGATATCACTGACTAGATCTCTGTCGAGATCTTTCACGATGTTATCGCTAATCTCTTTATCCTCCAACGGGAAGATTTTAGTTTCAGAAACAGTTTGAAAGTCGTTTTGGTCGGGATACACAAAGACGCTAGGATTGGGGATCTGGAGCTGAGCATTCACCTCGGCAGCAGAGTCGTCTTCTGTGTCGTCATCGACGTTGCTCTGGTGACTTATTCGGAATTCCGTTTCTGGCCCAGTAGCAACCAAAAGCGGCAAATTAACCCATACATGATTCCCTTCTACGCTGTCATCTTGACCAGTATCTCTAGGAAATCTAGTTCTCTGCCTTGCTGGAATCTTGTACTTTAGTGCCTTTTGTTGATTTACATCCGGGATAATGCTGTATGGTCTTGGGATATCTTCATCGTTGCTAGTGAAATCTGCAATTCTGGGGTGGGCACCTTCATAATGGGGGACAACTGGAGTATTGACTATAATGTTATTGAAAGCCTTTCTGAGTTTATGAAGGGAGCTTGAAGGTTTTAAATGATCGCTATCATTATCCGCAAATGAAATGTTATCACTAGTAACTTCTTTTGAGTCACTGTTACCAACTTTGCAAGTTACTGGAAACAATGAACAGCGCAAAAACGGAGTTTTCTCATAAATACTGGCCACGATCTGCTCAGCATCCATGGCTTCTGTTTGATCCACACCAATTTCTGCCTGTAAATTCTTCAGCTTTGCCCGTACACTGTCCGTAAAATTAATGACTTTCCGTCTGGCGCTGAAAGGATCTTCCCGATCATCCCCATTCATAAACAAATGGTCAATGTTCCCTAACTGTCCCCGGTCCAAATGATCGAGCCATGACGTAGTTCCGACCAGCGGATCCACACCAGGGTAAAGATAGTTCCTATCAGTCGGTTTGCCTATAGTTGTATACATTAACAGCAGTAGGGTCAGAAGCAGAAGGCAGTTAAAGCAACGATGACACGTCATAGTTAACAACTGGATTGTTTTGTAAAGTTCTGGAAAACAAAATAAGCTGATCACTGTTGACGTTGTATAAACTCGGATGGACAGGAATCTGAAATGAAACAAAACACGCGCTACTTGTTAATAAGTCGACGAATCCCTAATTTAACTAGACCATTCAGGCCCAGCATAGTTCATTTGCATCTGTGAATAAGGACAAGTTCTTATTTTGTGTGTGTACATAATTAAGATTAACAAAACATATTAACCAACACGCTTATATGTGCACACCCCAAAAAAAAAAAAAAAAAAAATTAGTAATCTGTTTGTTATGTATCAAGCACATGCTCACCTGATTTCAAGAAGGTATTTTAACATTTAGTTGGTCATTCGAAAAACCGGATTGGTACCCGAGGTTCAGATAGGACTGCCCCCTTAACGTTGAATGTAATTCAGACCTTGTGCTCATTGTCAATTG